ATTCATGGTTCCATTTCCTCCACTGTATTTATCAAACCTCTCAGTCCAGAGTTATAATAAATAGTAGAGCGGTTGCCATTATCTACATGATTTGAGATAGTTTGTTGCATGAACTTAAGCTTATGAGAGTCAATTAAAGAGCTGTTTCCAAACATTTGGTTATCTCTTAAATAATGGAACAAATGACTTATAAGAAAAAAAAGATTTAAGACTAATCACTACGAAGAATTTCCTGAGGTTATGAGCTGTTCAATAGTGGATAAGAATTTCTTGAAAGGAAGTAAATAGTGATTAGAGGTTTTTAAGTAGAAACTAGATGACTATCTATCAATTCTTGCCTAATAATGGATTTCCTGTACTGGCAAGGTGTTGGATTAAGTGACTTCCAGCGTGATCATAAAATGTTATCCTGTTGATCTCAGAAATGTACATTTCTGAATAAAAAATAGACAGCATGCATCTTTCCTGATGGATCTTCATGAGTTTTAAAAAGTAAAAAAAGAAAAAGCATTTCTAGAATTGCATTCCTTGATTCTAATACCAGTTTTCTTGTCACACTGCATAGATTGTATTTCAAATATTGAGGGTTTCCCCATCTCTCCCTATGAATCTGTGTGATCAGTTCCACCCGTTTATATAGTTTTTGTTGGGACATTCTTCTCTTCTGAATATTTTTAGCTACATTAAGTATTGATAGCTTTCCTAGAACTAAAAGTTTTTTGCTCAAGCCTACTTCTGTATAATATATATTCTGTATATATATTCCTTTCAGACACATTAAAAGTGATATTTTTGTGACAAATTGGGAATAGTTCTACCCCAAGACTTTTGAAAGCAGTGTTTAGAAAATCTCATGCTGTGCTTTCTAATTTTACCCATTCTTCTCACACCAACATATGAGACATGGTGGCTCGGCAGTTAGGACTCAGCCACTCAGCGGTCCTCAGTTAGGACACTGAGTCTTAGACAGTTAAAGATGTCCAACTTGGCAGTTTGAGACCCAAGTGCCGGGAGACGGAGTGAGCTCCTATCACTTGTCCCAGCTCCTGCCAACCTAGCAGTTTGAAAAATGCAAATGCAAGTAGATGAATAGGTATTGCATATGAGCATGGGAAATGTAACAGTCTTCTGTGTTTCACCATACGCTTTGTGTTGTGGCATGAAGTTATACCGGCCACATGACCACAAAAACATCTCTGGACAACGCTAGCTCTTTGACTTAAGAAACGGAGATGAGAACGGCCCCCTAAAGTCGGTCACAACTAAAACCTGCAGGGAGACCTTTTCTTACATCAGCTGCTAGAGTGTGTGGTGGAATTTTTTTACATTCTTCATCTAATATTTTTATTCATTTCTCATTTTATAACCAGTTTTAAAGCAATTACTGTCTCCTGTTCCCTCAGTAAGCTATGTTTCTTATTTTCATTTGTTGGCCTTTAACTTTCAACTTTTGCTGTTTGTCTCAAAATTTTTCTTCTGTACTTCGATTTATAGGTAGACCTTGAAAAAACAGAGAATGTGCATTTCATGTAGTTAGTTTATATAATTTATCATCATCATCAAATCTTTATTTGGTCAAAAACCAGCATGTTATGTAATTTATGACTTTGTGATTTCATTCTAGTTCATTTTCATAATTGCATAATTGACATTTATAGGTCTTTGGTGTCAGTTTACATAATTTGCATAAATAAATTGACATAGATGGCATAAAATGTAAATTATGTAATTATACAAATTACATCTATGTAAATTCAAAGATATTTGTATTGAACGAATAAACATTCCCCCACTGTCTATTAAATCAAGATTGAGGGACTTGTAAAATAAGCTGGCGGAAGAGATTTGTAAAATAAGCTGGCGGAAGAACTTCTGTCTTCAAGCTAAATTATGGGGAAGAATCCTTTGTAGTTGCTTTGAAGCCTTAAAATTGATAATGTCTTCTTGGAAAGTCTCAAAACTATGCTTTAGAATTCTGCTATAAACAAAGGATACATTTTATTTTCTTTGCATCTGTACTGCCTGGCAGCTAAACTGATTGAAGGTTCATTATTTTAGATGCTCTACAAATTCAGGAAAATATAATACCTGGACTTGTTCACCTGTGTGATACATCCCTATCCATCTTGTATTATAAGTCCACTCCTGAGAATATTGCCTCCATAAATGCTAAGTGTGACCTCACAGAACAAAATATTGCCCATCCTTATGTTAATTTTCAAGCCTACCTTTATTTCTTGTTTCATTTCTTGTTGTGTTTTATCTGTAGATTTTCATTTGCAAATATTCTATGAAGTTTAGCTAAAAGCTAACCTTTTTAATTTCCCAGACAGTTTAGTTCTTTTTGTTTTATTTTGTAACAGTCTTTTCTGATGTTGGCTCTACACTAGTGTAATACACACACACACACACACACACACACACACACACACACATACATACATACATGTGTGTGTGTGTGTGTCTGAATATATATATATTTCAAGGTTTTTACCTTTTAAATTGCTTATATCCCTTTTTATTATTGCTGTATTACATAAGTATTCAAAATTAAATTTAAAGGAATTAACTTAAACCCAAAGGTGCTTTTCAAAAGGCAAGTAGACTTTCTTGGTTTTTTTTCCTTGAAGATGTTTCACTTTTCATCTAAGAAGCTTCTTCAGTTCCGGTGAACAGTGGAGAATGGAAGGATTTATATTCCTTAGCAGTCCTGTGGTTACGAGCACTCTGAAGGTCAATGGTTACCTCTCTGAAAGTTGTTGAAGCCATTTTGGGATTTATTTGTACCCTCAAGGTCACCTGAATAAGAGTGCAAATGGTGTGCAACCTTCTTGGAAGGACTGTCTTGGCACACAAGACATATATAAGCTAATGAGGAATAAGACAAGAAAATTCTGTTGATGATGTTACCTAGTCTGGTAACAAAACATTCAGAAACTAAATTGAAACAAGCTTGGAGAGCAAACCACTGCCAAAATGCTGAAAGGACTGTATTGTAGACAGGGGATAGGTGATGTCATATCCCTCCCCCTTTGTTGAGAGAGGGCTGTTCAATTTTAATACAGATTGCCTCTTTGACCCCTCTTTCAAACTTCTGGTCCTCTCTGTCCAGGATATGGACTTTGCTGTCTTCAAAAGAATGACCTTTGTCTTTCAGATGCAGATGGACTGCTAAGTCTTGTCCTGATGGGTTTGTTCTCCTATGTTGTGCCATGTGTTTGTGAAGTTGTTGTTTGTTCCACAATGTACAGATCTGCACATGTCTCACTGCATTCCACAGCATATACCACATCACTCAATTTGTGTTTTATCCTTGGGGTGGACAGGCTTCTGCCTTTATAGATTATTGGGTTTAAAATGTGTACGTATGTTGTGTTGAAAATCCTCCTGAGCTTTTCAGATATTCCTGCAACGTATGGAATGACAGCGTTGCTTCGTTTGTTGTTTTCTTCTTTCCTTCCATTCCCCACTATTCAGCCAGAACTGAAGAAGCTTCTTGGGTGAGAAGCAAAACGTCTTCAAGGAAAAAAAACCAAGAAAGTCCAGTTGCCTTTTGAAAAGCACCTTTGGGACAGCCATGACCTGATGATTGAGAATCTCCATAGGCAGAATTAAACTTAAGTTAGTAAGAATTTGGGATTAAAGTTTCAAAGCAAATATATCATGGCATGTGGCAAACTTTTAAAACTTTTTTTTTAAAAAAAAATCTGATACTGGAAATAAATAATTCCCTGAAATGTGGTAAAGGGTGGTAAAGGGTTTAAAAACATTGGTCTAAAATTGTCACTTCATGCTGCTGAAACGAGCACTATATAAATCAAATAAATAAACAAAATTCCATTAAATTAAGATAACTTCAATTGCAAACTAATTAAGTACTTTAGATTTTCCTTAGAATTTTTTTTAAAAAATTCAATTTTCCTCAGTTAAATACTCTGATTTATTTCAATTGAGACTTATTTGAAAATATAACTGTAACTTACATTAAGGTACAGCTGTCATTGTAATTAAGATTAGTATACAATAAACCAGGGGTTTATTGGCTCTTTTATGACTCGTGGACTGACTCAGGAATTCTGGGAGTTGAAGTCCACGAGTCATAAAAGAGCCAAGGTTGCCTACCCCTGCAATAAACTAACATTTGTAGCAGAATTCTGTGCTGGAAAAAGGCACATTGTATTTTTACATAAAATTTTATAATATTTGTAAAAACTACATTGTCATCCAGACATTCTGTTACTATTATGCGCTTTTGAATAGAATGTTTCACTGCTATTTTCATTTTCTGTACATTTTAAAAAATATATGCTAGCTTCCTAGATCATGTCATAAAAAACTAATTTCAGTCTTTTAGAGTATTTTTAATAGCAACATTTATACGTACTTCCTATTTTCACTTTCATATGCTTTGAGGCAGGCAAAGTAATTTTGGAGGTGATAGTATTATATTACATTCTTGGACGCCCTGAACCAATGAATAATACTATATATGAAAATAACATTTCCTTTTTTTTAAAATGAACATTTATTTTCTCCCTTTTCCAACAACATTACATTTAAAATGTAATGTAAAAAGTCCCATTCGTGACTCAGGGAGAAGTTAACATTCTAAATGGGAATTGTGATACATAAAATCTATCATTAAAACAGTCTTTATCCAAATTGAACTATCAAAATCATCATCAAATACATTACATACTAAAGATTATACATGAAATTCATAAAATAATATATCAGCAATTTACAGAATCTCTATTTAAAACATAGATATATACCTAACATCTTTTAATAGAAATTTTAATAAAAATCTTTTCTTTTTTGAAATAAAGTTAAAATAACATTTGAGAGGCAACATCCTACAAGGCTCCTTTTGAGTGTTAAAGATGCTACATGCTTGTTTGCATAGAGTGCTAATGAAGCTTCCTCCTCAAATGTTTTATAATAGTGGAATGATTATTTAAATACTTTATAAAATATATTATTAAATTTCCAATTTTCAGGAATTCTTTGAACATGCAAAAAAGCTCTGGGATGATGAAGGAGTAAAGGCATGCTTTGAGAGATCAAATGAATATCAACTTATTGACTGTGCACAATAGTAAGTAGCACTTCTAGGAAAATCTTTCTAAAATTGTGTTCTGTGTTTTATTACTGGAAGCCAGTGGAAATATGCATAAAGTGTTTCTGTGTCTGGGATTCTGTCTTGAAAGGCAAAAGAAAATAATCTACATTGTAATTTTGTCTGAATCATTCATTTAACTAAAAAGTCCATTAACCCCCTTTGTTAATAATAACTGTTATTGATACTAGCAGTATAGTATATAAATTGTAATGTGTTTTATTTACATAACATAGATTAAGTTTTCAGTTATATACCACTATTCAAAGTCCCTGAGTTTAAATAAGATTGCATATATATGTGTAATAGGTTTGGTTTCTTTTCTTTCAGCTGATTTGAAATTTTAAGTTGTATAGGAAGGCATGTTAGTATATAATAGAGGATTCATGATGGATGGAAAAAACCTGCAGTCCACCAAGATACTTTATTATATGTGCTTTAGATATACATCTAATAAAAACATGACACACTTTTTCCTTCTAAATAAGACAATTAGGTAGTTTGATTTTATTGAACACTGGAAAATATCCAGTTCTCTGCATGGACGCCACTTCCGGAAGTCCATTCTGAGCCTTGGAAGCCTGGGGGAAGCCTCCCAGGCTCAGAACGGACTTCTGGAAGTGGCATCCACGCACTTCCGGTGGGCTGTTCTGGGCCTGGGAGGCCTCCCCGACTCAGAACAGGCTTCTGAAGTGGCGTCCATGCACTTCCAGCGGTCCGTTCTGGGTCTTGCGAAAAAGGGCTATGGCATCAGCCAGTTCGCCAAAGTCAACAAAAAATTAGCTACGGATTCTACTGAACCAGTGCGAACCGGCTGAATCCCACCACTGAAAATATCTAATACAACATATAAGCTGTAAAATATACTGAAATCTTTTAAGGGGAAAAATAACGAAAAACATACAATAACGTGGTTGCTTCAAGATGCACATCCTTAAACTAATACTTTGTTGAAGTTTTAGTTTCCCTTGTTTCAGAGATGAAAAACAAATATAAATTTCTGATTAAAAAATAAATTTTCCACAATACTATTGTCATCACTTCTGTTGTTGCTAATTACTGCAAGAACTATCTGATATAGTTTAAACTAAAATAAGCATAAACTATGGTTTATGCTTATTTAGGTCTCATTGTAGTGACTAAATAATGGATTGTTTGCATAGCTGGAGGAGTACCTTTTAAGATATATTATCCCCTACTACTAATATTACTGTAAGGTAGTATGCTTTCTTAAAATGTTACGTGTGTTATGAACATGCAGATTTGTTACTGTTGTGAATACCAGAGATTTCAAATTGATCACAGTTGCAATTCTCATTTGTTGCTTAATTGTTCATTTAACAATCTATAGATATACTGTAGGGATTAAAAATATGTAAGTATTTTAACACTTTCCATTTCCCTGCATAATGGTAAAAAACATTGCTTCGGTTTGGTTCTACCAATTTTCAGGAACATTAACATTACCTTAAAAAAAAAAAGTTTTCTCACTTCCCAGTCTAAACTACAGCTCTGGAATTCATGTGAACCTTTATCAACTCTGCTTATATTTCAGAGCATCCAACTTTGGCCCGCCCATTATCCAGAAACTCATGTAACAAGATAAGGTTCATAAAACTGAAATAAAACAATATAACCACAATTATTCTGATTGAGCAACCACAATAGAGAGAGAAACTAAAGTGATAAAAAGCATAGTGAAGCTGTGGTCACTGTGTTCTAAATATGAATTTTTAAAAAAAACAAACCTTCCCCAGTGCGAAAAAACAAAATGTCAGAGCCACCCTGGCCTCAAGGAGAGGTCATCTGAAAGTTAGATGACAAAGAAGTCTTTTGCCACTCCCCAACAAAGCACATCTCTCACAGTCATAGAGTGATGACATAGCCTCTGAATACTTGGGCATGTTATAGTGGGAACGAAGCTGTCTGAAATATTAAGGTTTAAACTTTTAAGGGTTTTAAATATTACTAAAACTTAAAGCCCAACGAGTAGTACAGGTAGTCCTTAATATACAACAGTTCATTTAGTGGCCGTTCGAAGTTATAACGGCACTGAAAAAAGTGACTTATGACCATTTTTCACACTTATGACCGTTGCAGCATCCCCAAGGTCATGTGATCAGAATTAAAATGCCTGGCAACTGACTCATATTTAGGATGGTTGCAGTGCCTTGGGGTCATGTGATCAGCTTCTGTGACCTGATAAGCAAAGTCAGTGGGGAAACTAGATTCACGTTAACAACTGTCTTACTAACTTAACAACTGCAACAATTCACTTAACAACCGTGGCAAGAAAGGTCATAAAATGGGACAAAATTCACTTAACAAATATTTCACTTAGCAACATAAATTTTGGGCTCAATTATCGACATAAGTTGAGGACTGCCTGTATATAAGATGTGAGTACAATTTATTTAGGACAGATGCTCCTTCAACGGTATCGGGATAGCCCTCCCATTGTTGCATTCTACAGTACCATTCTCCATGTTGTGCTCCTTCAATTTCCTACTTATCTTCAAGGACAGAGACCCTCTTACAACATGTTGCAGTAATGCACCCAGAAGGATACCAGAGTATGAGTTATGTAAGCAGGCCATCCCATTGATGAAGATCCACAGCTGCCATACCAATCACAAATGTCTCGAATGTTGTCTGGCATACCCACTTGGATTTCAAGTGATAGAGATTAATCTTGGAGTGCTCCAAGTGTATGAAATTCAGTTTTATGGGAGAATTCTCAATCTGTTTGAAGTTATAATCTACCTGAAAAGGTGAACTTATGATCTGATCCAAAATTCCGATGATGATTGCAGTTCGGGTAGTCGGCAACATAGCCACATTTATGGCCATTTGCAGCATCCTGTGGTCACATGACTATGTTTTTACAATGGTTTTGCCAAAAACCTGCACTTCTGTTTTTGGGCAAAACCAGACCATGGTGAACAATAGGCTCACTTAATAACCATGACATTCACTTAATGACCACAGCATTCACATGCCTTCCACGTTCACTTAAAAACCACCACTAAGTAACCCATTTTATGTTTGTTAATGACTTATGACTGTAACAGGCAGGGTCTATTACAGCCCTAACTGGAAGAATACCTGTTCCAGTTAGGATAACACAAACAGCAGCTGGAACTGAATGTCTATTAAATACTGAGATTACACATCAGTAGAATATGCATAAACTCTTCATAATGTAGACACTGTGGGCAAAACTTGTATTAAAATGTACAGTACATTATGTATAAAAATGTATCTTAAGTATAAAATGTACAAACATTGTCCAGACTAATTCACCAAGTGAATTGAAACAAAGTCTATTATTGTCTGAAATCCAGATTTTTTTCCCATAACATTCAAAATCCACTGATTCAAGATCCATATAATTGAAGGTTTACTGTGTATTCAATTGGAGATTTCACATTAAAGGTCCCTTTGCTCTTGTTTATTCTATACACCTTATACTAATACTAATAATTGTCCATTAGGTAATGAGGTGACACCATCTTGATTTTAGCCATTAATTAAAGGTGGTGATCTCAACTTTGTTTATGCTTTCTAAAGCATGTATGATTTTGAAGATAGCATTCACCTTGAACAGCGTCCTTAAGTATTTAAATTGAACAGAAAATAGCAAAATGAATATATGGACTGAATTAAACTCACTATGCATATACATTCATAAATTGCTTGATTGTTTAATTATTAAATAGTAGGTTGTTTGGTTGGTTGGTTGTGTGCCATCTTGCAATTGAATCACCTTGCTGTGGTCCATCCTCTTCATCTTTCACCTTCCACTTTTGTATTTGCTATAGGACAACTCAATTTCTAGGTCCACTCTTAAACAGCCAGATAATATTTCCAGTATCTGAAAACTAGATGCTAGTTTCATTTTAGACTATTCATTATAATGCCCATGCCAGGATCCTTGGACTGCTGGCATGACACATAGCATAGTACACATTTAAGTACTTGTACATCTGTATTTAAAAGTTACTAATGAAGACCAGATTCCATTGTCATTACAGGTGCATTGTATTCTTGCATTGAATATTCAGTAAGCATATTTTAGAAAACACCCACACAGCCACCCTTTTGAATAGTGGAAAGGAGGAGAAAGATAACCAGGCTCTATGCCTTCTGCCATGAGAGCTAAAATCCAGTTCGCTTGATTGAAAAACTGAACAGCAACCTAATTTTTTCTGAAAAACTGCTGGTTAAGATTTTAGATGACAAAACATTTGCAGTTTTTTTGCATGGGCTATCTATTTATTAACTTTTGAACTTCTGCTTTAAAGAAAATTGTATTTTCTTCATTTCTTATACTGTCTATATAATTTGTATTATTTTAGCTAGCAATAAAGCATAACAGCTTACAGGCTATGTTATTGTGATAACTGCATGTTGTGTTTTAGTATAAGTTTGCTGTGGTATTATAAGGCTGATTTGCACTATATATGATTGATTTTGTGTTCCCAGTATACATCCTCCCCATTTAAATTCAGTTTAAGCAGCAGAAAAGGGCATTGCAGGAAAAGGGAAGCTGGTTGATGGGTCCCATTTATTTATTCCTCACTTTACGTACTTTATAAGTTACTTCTGCTCTTGAATTGTGCAGAAACAAGGTAGAGAAAAGGTTGTGAGACATGCAGAGATCTCCTATTCCTTGCAATGCCAGTGCCCCTTCATGCTGCTGAGATGGAAGTAAAGAAAACCAGTCCTTAAGCCCTGCAGCAGAACGGCTAGTCTGCATAGCCACTGCATTAAAAGCCTCAAGCAGTTTAATTTTATAGCATTCAGTGTATTACAATAATACAGTGTTGGTTCTATTTTTATATGCATTCTGAATAATGAGATGAGAATCAAACAGTTTAAGAACCTAAGGAATCATTTCAGAAGAGAGGCAGAGAAAATCTGTTTAAATTTATATTAGAGATATCTTTAATGATTCTTGCTTTTGTGCCATAATCAGC